CCTGGGTGGGGTGCATGGGGTCTGCTACGTGCTCGGTGAGAAACTGCATCAGGGCTGCCCGCCGTGTGTTGCTAACATCCCCACACACGTGAGTGCCTTGGGACCCTCGTCAAGACACTGAGCTGAGGCCACCGGTCCACAGCACACTGCAGTGCACACGCCCTTCTTGGCAAGAGGCTCCCGGGGTGCCATGCTCTCCAGGCACCTGCCCTGCCTGCGAGCACAGCCTGGCCCCAGCTGCACTCTGCTCTCTCTGCCCGCTCGGGTCCACTGCGGCGGAGTGGATGGGAGAAGCCTCTTCCACTTCACACACGCGTCGCCTCTAGCACTGGGCAAGGTCTGGCATTCAGAGTTCCAAGATCCCACAGACCCCCGTGGCTAAGTCTGTCTTCCCTCCAGGAATGGGGAAGCAGGAGCCGTCAGGGCAGCCGTCTCCTATCTGAGGCACCGGGAACAAACATGACGTCAGGAAAAGACTGAAGGTGCCAAGCACCTCACGCTGAAGGAGCCAGCATGTGCCCGCCAGCACTGCAGAGCACACACCCCAGGCACCAGAGACCAGGGTGTTATTCACAGGTCAAAGCAAAATAAGAAAATCATAATTTTTCCCCTTGTTCCAAAGAAACATCCACGTGCAGAGGGCAGGCAGCTTCGGCCCACGGCGCTCCTGACGAGGGCTCCCTCGCGGCTGCCCCAGGACAAGCAGGACCCCGGCGGTCCTAGGCAGGGAGAAGCGAGACTCAGGGTCACAGACGAAGGCGCAGGAGAAACAGCGGGGCAGGAGGCTCCCCAGAACCCCAGGGAGGCCAGGCAATGAGGCACAGCAACCTCAAAAACATGCGCTGATTGACTGATTATTTATTTATCTATTTTATTTTTTACGGACAGGGTCTCACTCTGTCGCCCAGGCTGGAGTGCAGTGGCGCAATCACGGCTCACCGTGGCCTTGACCTCCTGGCCTCGAGGGACCCTCCCGCCAAAGTGCTGGAAGGGTGTGAGCGCCTGCGCCTGGCTACTTTTAGATTTTTTAAGTGTTGGGAAAACTTACACATATGAAAAAGTAGACAAAGTAGTATAATTTGAAGCAAATCCCAGATACCATATAATTCAATATGAATGCTTTCAGTGACAAGAGTTTCTGAACTGAGACCACCATTGAGGTGGTAAAGGACAGACTTCAAAAGCAGATACAAGAGGCCCCAGGCAACCAGGGCAGGCAGAGCAGGGTAGGCAAGATGGGATCAAAGTCCCAGAGCAAGCTGGTCTGAGAGGGCTCGGTGGGCAGAGCTGTCTTGGGGCCAGGACATGGCAGGTGCCTTCCTACTCCTTGCTGCACCCACAGCCCTTACAGAGGTCTGGTCCTGGGACAGGCTCTTGCCTGGCACTCTGGAACGCGCAAAGGTGATTGTGTCACATGCTCACGTCTGCCTGGACAGCCTCCAGGCCGCTGTGTAGGGACCACGCAGATGCACAGCCTTGGGGACTGCTTTAAACTGCACTGATTCACGACAGACAGAACCACGTTGTTCTTGGCAGGCCGCCCCTAGCCCTGACTAAGCACTGCAGAGGCTGCATCTCCATGGGACTGGACCACGGGCAGGGCTGACTCCACCCCGCGTGTGGGAGGCGGGAAGCCATCCCCAAGGCAACACGGAAGTCTCTGAGGGAGGTGTGCCAGCCTCTCCCACTTGGACACAGCCGAGGTACCTGGGACGGTGGTGACCCTGCATCCCTCCCACCATGGCAAGGGGCACTGGCTGCGCCTGCTCAGCAGAGGGCGCCGCAGGGGCACTGCAGGAGGAGAGCCTGGCAGGGATGCCTCGGTGCACCCACACCTCTCCAGAGGGGCCTGAGCCCTGGGGACCAGAGAAGAGTTTCTCGTCTGTCACATGTCGGTTAACCCTGCACCAATGTTTCTCTTCTCGTCCCTGCTGTGGCCGCCAGATGGGTACAGCCGAGGTGTGCAGCTCTCCCTCCACCCCACTCATTTCTGAGCAAGAACTGCTCCTCTGGGGGCAGGAGGGGGGTGCAGCGTGTGTGAGAGTCACAGCACCCAGCAGCCTGCCTCCTGGCCCAGGGTGGGGCTGAACGCACTGGAGTTGGACTTGCTACTATTTATTTATTTAGAGAGGGAGTCTTGCTCTGTCGCCAGGCTGGAGTGCAATGGTGCAATCGTGGCTCATTGCAACCTCCACCTACTGGGTTCAAGCAATTCTCCTGCCTCATCCTCCTGAGTAGCTGGGATTACAGGCGCGTGCCATCACGCCTGGCTAATTTTTGTATTTTTAGTAGAGACGGGGGTATAGTTTCTTCATGTTGGCCAGGCTGGTCTCGAACTCCTGACCTTGTGATCCACCCGCCTCGGCCTCCCAAAGTACTGGGATTACAGGCGTGAGCCACTGCACCCGGCCGTGGACTCGCTACTTTAAGAGGGTCCTGGTTAAAATGCAAGCTTCTAGGATAAGCAATGCTCCACATTCATACATCAGAACAATCTTCCTAGGAAATCTAGTTTTGCGACATTAAACAAGAAGTTATTAAAATTGGCCCCAAAAGGGTGATAAACACAGGAGGACAAATACTATATTTCTTAGGTCTTTCTGTCACAGTCCTTGCCTGGAAAATTCTATTTTCAAAATGTTCTTTACTGTTTTCCCACCTCACAGGGATTCTCACCTACCCTGTCCTCACCTGGGCCTGCCCCTCACAGAGAAAGGACGTGGTGTTCAACACACAGTTCCAGGAGCGCTCAGGGCTGTGGCAGAAAATATCCCAGAGACCCACAGATAGTGAGAACGGCCTCAGTGGGCCAGCAGGGCTGGCACCAGGCAGGCGCTAACCATCAACAGACAGACCCCGGAAGATTCTGACAACACAGCAGGGCCCTGGGGGAGAGCTTCTCTCCACGATGACGAAACGGCCACCACAAAGAGACCTGACCAGCCAGACGGGGTGGGCACCGGGTAGCCCTGGGAACGCCATCTTACCAAGTGGGATCGTTCCCCTAGGAAGCAGAAGCAGATGCTTGTCTCATTAACCCTTTCAGCAACACTTCCAGAGACATCACAGAAACACCTCAAAGGTCTGAGGCCAACTCCACATGGCCACTGTACAAAGAGCTAACAACTACGCATCCATGTGACGGCCTCCTACAACCAAAACCAGCATGGGACCAGAAAGAGCAAGCACAGGGTTTTCAGGACTGGACTGATTTTCTCTAGGCCTAAAGCCCGAGAGGACACAGCACCGCTGGGAGCTCCCGGGAGTCGCCCAGGCCCTCCCTTCTGGGGGCTGAGGTCCCTCGCAGGACCTGTCCACTCACTTCCCTGTGCCTCCCAATGTTCTTCCTTGGAGCTGTCCGCTGCGGGGAAGAGGAGTCCTCCCGGGCCTGTGCTGGTGTCCCTGCAGCCTTCCTGTCCCCAGATGTGCTGGCCCAGAGACAGGAGCCATGTGCCTGGCACTGCACCTGCCCCTCACTTCCCACCTGGGAAAACCAGCCCTCTCCGCTGGCCTTTCACTCGGCAGAGTCTCCACCTGGCTACTGTGAGCACATCCCTGGAGCACCCCACATAGGACAGGAGGGGCCACGGGCCTGCGGCAGCCACACAATCATCAAGGCTGAAGCTTCCTGAGCTGTGCTGACAAAAGCCGGGGCCTGGATCCTCTTTACCGGCTGTGCCTGCTGCTGTTCCTCTTCAACAATCTCCTTAGTATCACGAGTCCCTATCACCTGGACCACTTCCCCGTCTGCTCTCAAACCCACATCCTGGCACAGCCTCTACGCCTTGTGCTATGGCTGCATTCAAGGAGTCTTAGGAGGCCAGGGACAGAGCCCAGGGCCTGACACAGCACGTCAGGCCGGTTCACTCCAGGCTTTGTGGCCAGCTTAGTGCTTTACTGCCTCCAACTTTCCCCAGCAGGGCTGTAGAGAAGCTGGATGACCAGGAGGACAAGGAGGCCTCTGGTCACAAGAATCACCAAAGAACAAGCATGGCCAGCACAGAGGCCTGGGCTCCCCGCTGAGCAGCTCAAGACAGAATCCACTGGAAGGGGCACTGCAGGAGGCGCTGAACCCGCCAGGAGTGTGTGCACATGAACACACACGGGCTTGCACATGGGCACACACGGGCACACAGGTATGAACACGCACACATGGGCACATACATGCACACGGACATATGCACATGGGCGCACATCTACACAGGCACACACAAGCACATACATGGGCACACACAGGAACACACACGGGCGCACATCTACACAGGCACACACATGGGCACACACAAGCACACATACATAGGCACACACATGGGCATACACAGGCGCACATACAGGCACACACACAGGCACACACACAGGTACACACACAAGCACATTCACGGGTACACACACAAGCACATACATGGGCACATACGGGCACATGTACACAGATACACGGGCATGTGCCCATGGGCACACACACAGGCACACACGGGCACACATACACACAGGTACACACTCTGGCATAGGCACATGCACACAGCACACACATTCCTGCTCTGCAGCCTCAGATCCCACCTGTGCTTGGGAAGACTTCCCTGCCTCCTGCTCACTTTTAGGGCTCCCTTTGGTTTTTACTACAAGCGATGGAGCTTCTTCCTGTGCCTCTGTGGCCCTGAGGGGAACCACTGTCTCCCTCCTGTGTCCAGCTGTCAGAAGACCCACAGGTCAGAAGCCCTATACCTCGCCCAGGGCTGGACACGCACCGGGTGCATCTCCACATGTGTGGGACCCGAGAGTGAAGCTCTCCAATCAGCCCTGGGGGCCTGAGCCTCGGGTGAAGAGGAGGTGGCACGTGGGGGCCTGTGCCCCGCCCCTGCTGCCCCTTGCCTGGACGGCGTGCAGGGTGCTACCGTGGGTCCCAGTGCAAAGCCGGAGGTGCGGGGACTGGGGACACCCTGCCTGGGCTGCTCCGGGCAGCCTGTGGAGGGCTGAGTGCAGGAGGGGCCGCGGGCTGGTACCTGTGTCCGAGTCCTTCTGCTCCCCATTGGCGCCCGCAGTGAAGGGCAGCTTCCGCTTGCTGGCTCGCTCCCTCACCTCCTTCCCGCCATCGCCACGCTCCAGTTTTGGGGTCTTGGTTAGAGAAACTTTATCTTTATCCTAGAAAAGAAAGGGATACATTCAATCGTGATCCCCAAATTACATTCTTAAGCTCTCAAGATTTTGTTTCATGTGCCAGGAGAAGCAAATCTCTTATTTGGGCAACGAACACCCTCCCTGCGCCCCAGGGTGTGGCTGTGTGAGGCGGGTCACTGACCGCAGGACCTTCACCTAGAAGCCTGGGGCCGGGCTGTGGCTCAGCCCTGATTCTGGCCCATGTCTCACTCATCCTGCGCACCGGAGGGACGCTCAGGAAATCACTGGTGTGTGTGTGGAGAAAGCAGAGGAGACAGACACGTGCTACCTCCCACTCCACTCCTGCCTTTCTGGGAGGTACTGAACAATGAGGAAAAACAAGGGCTTTGCCTTCCCAAAAGAGAGGCGCTGCCACACACAGCCAAGTTCCCATCAGGAGCCTCCTGTGGAGTGAAGGCCAGCAGGGTCTCGGGTAGGGGCACGTCTTCAGGTGAGTGGCCGGGTGTGGCTCCCTGTAGCCTGAGTTCTGAGTTCTGTCAGAGCACGTCTTCCTCTGCCTGTTTCACACTGGCTGTGCTGTAGTTTTGCCTTTTCCATTCCCGAACATGGACTTTTCTACTGTTCTAGAGGCCACTGAGCAGCCCCTAGCCCCATCTCTGCCCTCCCTGGAGCTCCAGGAAGGAGTCCCTGTGGGGTAGCAGAGTCCCGGTGGGGGAGCAGAGCCCCTCGCAGGCCTAAATGCAGGGCCCACCCACCAGGCAAGAAGCAGGGCAGGGACTGTGAAGCCCCAACTCCATCCAGCCCCGGCCCCAAGGTTGGCCTTGAGCAAGCACTGCCTCAATGGCATAATCCACTGGCTGGAAGACGTGCCCTGGGGATGGGGAAGGGAGCCTGTGTGACGCACACAGCACTCGGGACGTGGGGAGGCAGACGGTGCGACACACACAGCCCCTCTCCCCATCAGTAAGCCTTCTTTCTGGAACTTTCCCTAGGTAAGCTGCCGGCAAATACCGTGTGCAGTGGTCAGCGGTGCCTTCAGCGCACTGGAGGCCTCAGCTGCTCCAGGGCTGAGATGCCCAACTGTCCCTGGGAGAAGCCCAAGCATCCCCAGCCACGGTCCTGCCTCCCGGGACCCAGATGCATCTTCTAGCTTGACTGATCAACACTGCATCCACCAAACCTGGCAGTTAACCAGAGACATCCCTGAGTGACCATGAGAGCGCTTTCGAGAACATGCTGCAAGCTCACAGGGCAACTGGAGTTAAAGAGAAGCTGCCAAGCAGACCAGAGCCATGGCAATGTGCCCACCTCTCCAGTGAGACATGGGGACAGGAGAAGGGTCCCAGACAGGTGTCTGGTGAGATGGGGCCTCTCCAGTGAGACATGGGGACAGGAGGAGGGTCCCAGACAGGTCTCTGGTGAGATGGGGCCTCTCCAGTGAGACATGGGGACAGGAGGAGGGTCCCAGATAGGTCTCTGGTGAGATGGGGCCTCTCCAGTGAGACAGGGGGACAGGAGGAGGGTGCCAGATGGATCTCTGGGGAGATGGGGCCTCAGGAACGCAACACCCACCCCAGCAGTGCAGGTCCTTCCGGCCCTCGGCCTGGGTGCCCAGATGCAGCTCATCTGCTGCCTGGCTGCAGCTCCACTGAGCTTTTCTATGGCCCCCTCGGAGTGCAGTCCCCACCTGGAATGTGAGAGGCATCCTCCTCGGGGCCGGGGAATGACAGGAAAGAATGGCACACACCAGGAAGAAGCTCCAATCTTAAACTCCTTCCTCCAGGAACACTCCCGGCCCAGTGTGTGGTTCCATCAGACATCTGAAGAGAGGCCACTGTAACGCTAATTTCAGAACCTGATGAGGGGTGGGTTCTATACACATGTGAAGAGGCCACCATAACCCGCATTGCAGAACCTGATGAGGGCATTCTACACTAAGAAAATTATAAACCAACATACCTTATGAACACAGACAGGATATATATAAAAAGATAACACAAATGATAGGAACAAGAACAGATTTGAGAATGCAAGAAATTTAAAAAGCAATGTATTTCACCACACTAAGAAAATAAAGGAAGGAAAACCATGTGCTCATTTCAACAGCTCCAGAAAAGGCCTGTGATGAAATTCCACAGTTTGTGATGTGGGAGGAAAGCCCCAAACTGATCAAGGCCTCCGGGAGCCTGGACAGAAGGAACACTGTCCTCAGGGCCACGGTCAAGGCAAGACTGCCTACAGGCACCTCCGCCAGGCACTTCACTAAAGAAAATACCCAAATAGACAATGGACACCCGAAACGGTGTTTCTCATCAGGAAAATGCAAATGACAGCCACGAGGAGATGCACACCAGCGCCTCCACCAGGACAGCTGGGAGAAGACAGGCTCGGCAGACCCCAGCAAACGCCGGCGAGGCTTCGAGGGAGAGCTGCGGGTGCGTTTCCCACGACGTGTTCACAAACAAGCACAAGGCTGTTCAAAGGCTGTTTTGTTCGTAATACAAAAAATGACACAACTAAACTGCCCGTCCAAAGGCAAATGAACAATTCTAGAATACAAATGGAATACCGCTGGGGATGTGAGCCGCGAACACGGGGGGTGTGTACCATAAACACGGGGTGTGCACCATGAACACGGGGTACGCACCATGGAAAGGGGGGTGCATAGCATAAACTCCGAGGGTGCACGCAATAAACACAGGAGGTGTGTGCAGCCTCGTGGAGCAGCCCTATGCATACAGTGGCAGATGCATCTGGCAACCAAGCTGAGAATATCTGTACCCCAAAGAGAAGCCCTCCTCTGGAATCAGACTGGGCTCAATCCCTTTCTTCACACATGGAAGCTTCTAGAAGACAGCACAGGAGGACATGTTCACCACCAGAAGAAAACACACACCACACCACCATGTGACGTCACCACATGCCCGTCCACACACCTGTCAGCGTTGCTGACGTCAGGCCCACACACTGAGCACTGGCAGGGATGCGGGTTCCCTGGTGGTTCTTGGGGCACACTGGCTCATCGACAGAAGGGCCCACAAATGCTGGGCATGACCACAGTCACAAAGGCAGAGAATGCCAAATGCCAACAATAGCAAAATCCTGCAAGTCAGACACTGTGGAGCAACCAGTGTCTCCCGCGGAAATCTCAACAGCCAAAACCTACCAGTGGAGACAGAAGTCAGGGCAGAGGTGACTTTTGGAATGGGGAACGTTACTGAAGGCCCCGAGGACTCTGGAATATTGTGTATTCTCACCTGGGTGGTGATTATCCCTGGTTTTACAGATGAAATTACCAGTTATAATAACGCATATCTATAGTTCACTTTAAAAGCTCACAAGTTACTTTTTCACCTCCCAGCTCCTTACACCTCAACGAGCTGTGGAGGGAAAAGCACGCACGGGCAAGGCACCTGTGTGACACAAGGCTCGCCTCCAGCTGCCCGGAACGGGGAGCGTGGCACAGCCACCAGGAAGGTGGCTGCCATCAACCTGGGCTCAGAGCCTGCCGGGCAGCTGGGGTGGGACAGGCCCTGTTTCGGCCCCTCTGAGCTTTCCTCACCAGCACAAGAGGACTGTCGGCAGGAACCACCTGCACGTGCTACAGAATGTTCTCATTTTCTAAATGCAAATACCTCAAACATTAAATCCAATCCTTATCAGGCACCTCTTATAAAGCCCCACTATGCCCCAAGGACCACCAGATAGTGACAGCCGTGGCACAAGACCCTGCCGGGCCCACCAGCCCGCTGGTCACCTGGCGAGGTAGGCTCTGCACACATCACATGCAGATTCTCCATCACACCGTGACTTCCACTCATGGGAAGCACACACACAGCAAAGAGAAAGTTGTAGTGACTGAAAAACGGCCATGTCCAGTTGATACCTTCCCCGGAGCTCCATCTTTCTTAGAAGAACGAGAATCGTGTTGTCCACTAACTGCAGCACAGAGATGTCATCCAGCCCCTCCGGTTCCATTCCCGGCTCAGCTGCCTCGGTATCTGAACTGCCTGTGTGGGGGGTCTGCCTGTGTGTGGGGTGTGGGGTGCGGGGTCGGCCAGTGTGCAGGGT